ATATTTATGAGGGCAGAAATCTGAAGAAAGTGTATATTTGGAGAAAAAAAATCATATGCAATATTTACCTCCTCTGCTACTCACCAATCCACCTCAATAAGGGCATTTCTGAACTTATTAACAAATTCAGGCCTTTCTACTTCCTCATCCTTCATTAGTGTCCACTTTCCACAGAACTCGCCACCGCATTCCATGTAGTACTGTAAGAAAAGAAGAAGTTATGTGACCGTACTCTGCTCCAGACTCAACTGTGGCCAGGCAGTTATCATAAATGTTGCAGGAGGTTGATAGCACCGTGCAGATTCAGAGCATTGATTGCAGAAGTCCAGCACATTTCCCAGCTCAGTAAAGTGAGACCCTGTCGATGGATTTCTTCACTTTTTCCGCGAAAGGCTATTTTCTGTCTGTCAGTGGTGCAGAGAAGGCTCGCTGCCAGATGGCATCACAGTATTAAGATATAGGGAATCCAGATACTGCAAGAAAGTAGAGGCTAAAAACTTTCTTAGTCTCTTTTTACTTCCAGACAGCATAGCAACTACGCAGGAACGGCTGCATATAACTTAATTATCCTTGTGTCTCTCTTATCAAACCTTACAGTCCTAATTCGATATTGAGTGAACCTGCTTGAACAAAAGCATAGAGCAGGCCGCATGAATTATCATATTGATAGGAGTTTTCAAACAGCTTCCAAATGTGTAAAGTTTAGTCATATCATTCTCAAAGAGATATTAAACACAGAAAGACATACTTCGATGGCATTTCATTATGCTGTTCACAGAACATATTGCACACCCTGATGAGGTGTTATATGGCATTGATGGCAAACAGCAGGACATCTCAACTTAACTACAAGCTGGTGATTTTAATCAGCGCTCAGCTTTTAGTTTAAAGTGAACTCGGTGTATACACCTAGGTAAATGTAGTTCAGTGCAGAGGATGGATTTAGCTGAATTCCCCATACACAGTCTGGACAGATGCTCTGCTGCCACGCCTCATGATTCCTCATAAAAGCTGTTAATCATTACATTTTTGGATAAAGACTTGGTTTAAGGTCACAAGGAAGCTAATGTAAGTCAATATAATGTCCTCTGAAGCGATAAACCCTCCTGCAATTTCATGTCTTTTTGTCACTTTGTCACAAAAGAACAAAACAAACTTTTTACCATGGTGTACATATCCACTTTTTTGTTTGTTTTCTACTTATTGTTTTATTTACAATGCATGCATACTTAGCATTTTTTTTAAACATTTCCTCACTTTATTTGTTTTATGTGCTATTGTAATCACGTAAATGTCCCTGTTGCGGGACAAATAAAGGATTTCTGATTTCTTATACTAGTTCTGGGATCATCTCTGTATGTAACTCTTTTTTGTCCAAGTTCATTCGGACAAATCAATCATTTTCTAAGAATGTAAAGCTTTTCTTTGCTTTTCACCAAATGGTTTTCAATCACACAAGAAAAAAAGGCATATTTTGTACTAGCCAAATTTAATTTAATTAACACTTAAGAGGGAGAAGAAATTGTAGTTTCTCTGACTTGTCTGCTCCATTAGGATCAAAACTGCTCAGGAGATGAAGAGTCCTATGTTTTGGAGTTAGGGCAACAAAAGTCTGTAGTGCCACCATCAGGCCAGTGTTGATTAAAGTCCCAATTTAACACAATCTGTGTACGCTACCAGAACGTATAACTCACATTTTGTCGGGTATTTCTTTCAACAAACAGTCTGTGTTTCTTATGTTTTGTTCAAAATCTAAACAAAGTGCATATGTAAAGATTTAGTTTGAAAAAAGTTTGCAAAGTTGAACATATTCCACCATGTTCTACTACCTACATTTTTATTTTCCATGAAACAATTACGTGTCGTTTCCCAGAGCCCAGGACTGAACACAGGCTCACTTTTGTACCCAAACATTTTGCTGAATCGTAAATGTCAAAATACATATTGTGAGAGTGATGGATGGATTTGTATTGATAATATCAGATAATGATATGTATTATTCTCTTGTATTCTTCTCATATATATTGTAAAATAGAAATGTAAGAGAAGCTTGCTGCATGATGAAGCCCAAAACGGTGTGTCATCCAAACAATATAGCTGATAATAATGTGATTTGAAATTCATTGGAATGAGAAATAGTAAATATATATATAGGAGGAAACTTTCGTCCCAAGAGCCTTAGGGAGAAACCAAATCCCAAACACAATGTGGAAAACGAACAAAGCGCTCTGTGTTCATTCATTCATCGCTTCTGCACATTTCTGAATGTATCAGGATTTCTATATTGTTGTTGTTGCACCAACCCTGGGAGCTGTAACATTTAAGATAATTGGTCATTTTCATGAATCACAATGCAAGTGTCTTGAAAGATGATGAGTTTCCTATAACAGGGAGGGAACAGCTGAAACAGGGAGCGTCCTTTATTGCAGACCACCTAACTGTGACTGAGTTTGCAGCGAGGACAGAAGCCCATATCTCTACAATTCTATCTCCAACAATGAACATTTGCACAATGTGTAAACAAGCCTCATTTTACATTTTAGGCTGTATGCATTATTGCCTGCTGCTATATGTTGTAGCTGTTTCCTTTGTGTTCCTGCTGTGGTGTTGTGCACGGCTGAGGATTATAAATGGCCATTGCTTGGCTGCTTTGGCCCATTAGGAGGTCTCAGTGTGGCTATTATTTGTATAGCAAGCCGAGCTTAAGGTCTTTATCATTAACTTGAGGACAACCTCAAGTCCCTGTCGAGGGGGTTTGCTATTTATTTGGCAGATATTTCTTCAGTCTAACTCCTCCGTGCTCCTGTCAACAGAGTAAACAAAGCTTGGTTAGGATGCTGAAACTCTACCACCCAGTGACAGTATTTTTTTTCAGCGCACAGCTTGATAACTCCAGGCTGTCACAACATCTGAAGCCCCTTTGAATGCTTCACTGTTTCTTTTTGTTTATAGTCTCCAGATTCCTGATTTGTTTGTCCTCTGCAGGTTAATCTGCACCATTTAGGGTTTGATTGACATGTTTAAAACTTTGTATATGGTGTGAATTTATGATGAATTCTTTTTTTACACAGGTACTTTTATTGAATCACAACAAAATACAGACTATATTGTGTTACCTAACTTTTAGACTGGCATGTGGATTAGGGCTGTGCAATTAATCGTATTTTAATCGCAATTACGATTTTGGCCTGCCACAATTATATTATAATTGAAAAAAACGATTATTTTGCTTTGCTAGGTTGTGACAGTGCACTGCAACATATTTGATCTAATTTATTTTAGTCTCATTTATATGTATTTATCATATTTATATATATTTAGTAGCTTGTTGAAGTGCGCTCCAAAATATTCGTTGATCTTGTTTATTGGTATTTATTATTTATTTAAATGTAAATATAAATGTATCATTTATTTTTGTATTGGTTTTTCAGTTGAATTATACGTTCAGGGTAATCAACAGTTAAAAAGATACTGTTCAAATTATTATTTGTATTTGTTTTAAAGTTCAATAAATGGATGTTTTCAAAGTCAATGAATAATCGTATTTAATAATCGTGATATCAATTATTGACCAAAATAATCGTGATTATGATTTTTGCCATAATCGAGCAGCCCTAATGTGGATTGATAGTTGCTATGTGCATATTTATTTATAGTGTCATGCAAATAGAACAACACCCACACCGTCAGTCACAAAAACCTCTGTGATTTTCTGTAATTTTCGTTATTATACAGAAAATTATATAAAAAGACATATAATAGAAAAACAAGGACTTGCTGTGAAGCATAATTTTCACTTGACCAACCTTAGTCAATAACTAGTTACTAATGTCATGAAATCGACAGGACACAGAGCTGCAGGTGAATTGTTCCGTTTAGTTTTAATACTGGGACAACTAAAAAAGAATTATTCATAGTGATGGGAAAGAGTGAAAGCCAGTGTTAGTTCGACAAAATTCTAGGAAGGACAAAATATACAGACCACACATGACTCTTATAAAGTAAAGTTAATTTATTCAAACAAACAAAACTAAGTGTGCAGTCAGTGCATCATGAGTGTAGTGTGTGAACATGTAAAAGTGTCAAACAGGAAAGACTGAAAAGCAACACAGGTGTCAGCCATCTTCAAGAAAGACTGAAAAGCTACACGGGTGTCAGCCATCTTCAAGAAAGACTGAAAAGCTACACGGGTGTCAGCCATCTTCAAGAAAGACTGAAAAGCTACACGGGTGTCAGCCATCTTCAAGAAAGACTGAAAAGCAACACAAGTGTCAGCCATCTTCAAGAAAGACTGAAAAGCAACACAGGTGTCAGCCATCTTCAAAATAAACTGAAAAGCAACACAGGTGTCAGCCATCTTTCCTGATTTGGGGGAGTGGCTCATTTGGTAATTGGCCTAGTTAAATTCCTCAAGACCAATATTCATTCACTATAAAACCATTACCATAGCCCTCTTAGTCAAAATGTTGGCATTCAACGTTTATATATGATTTGATTCCTTTTATTTTATTTGAACTTTTATTGGACAATTTTACTTTAGATCATTATGATTATATGAAATCTTTACACCTGTTAATATATACATATATTATTTTATTTATAAGTATTTTTTATTTCATTCTCAAATAAAATAACTGTAACCAAATCCAATCTCCCCCTGATTCTGATTCCAATACTTTTATGGAACATCAGTAGGCTAAATTGAAGCATATGTATCTGGTCTTACATTATATGTTATGCACAATATTATAGGGACAACATTTTGCCATTATTGCCACTGTCCCTCTTTAAGGGCTTTTCTCCTTCGGTTGCATCTTCTTCCTGCATCAGTACAGCCAGCAGGCATCTATCCTGAACACATAATACTGTAGAATCTACAGTATTATGTGTTCAGGAGTAGCCAATCAGAGGCCAGTGCGAGCCGGACTCTGACGTGGCCTCGCCCCCTCCAGCCCCTCGCTCCATCGTGTACTTCCTCGTTACTACGGCGACAGTTGAGCGCCGTCACCGGTTGGCGGAGCCGCAAAGTCATCACGGCGATATCGGGAATTCCTCTCCGTGTAGGGCTCCGCGTGTGTGACGGAGAACCGGAGCCTCACTCTCTGCTGGGAGGAAGCAGCACGCACCGAATACACGTGAGGCGTCAACCATGTTCATCTACCATGTTTCCTGCCCGTGTTTTCATCTGAGCCCGGCTCCGCCGCAGGAGGAGGAGTAGGACATGTATCTGTGTGAGAGTGGGAAAGTAGTTGAGGTTTGATGAGAACAAACTTAGAAAAGAGACAACATGGTCAACTGCATCTTCATCCGCATTTCCTGCTCATAAACATCAGATCTGAGATCTGTCCTGCTACTAAGGTGACCCCAGCAAGGCCGACTTGAATGTAAGTGTGTTGTGAATTAAAAACTTGAGCTGTAACCCTGACACTACTGGACTGCAACTCATTTGCTGCTGCTAGTAATTAAAGTCAGTGGTGCCGTGATTAAGAGATGAACTGATAGAGATATTGGTTAAGTAAACTAAACAGGAAATTAGGCAATATTTCTTGTTGAAAAATGGGCAAGAAGGTACTTGAAGCGATGACCAAGTAGCCCTTTGATTTATAAAACTATCTTTAACACAGGAATGTTGGGGAAAACAACAATACATGTTTTTGGTCAATGACCTTTCAAAACTGTTGTGCTTACAGAAGCAGTATTGATTATATCTTATCGTGGCCTTTATGTTTTGGAAACACTGATGGTCAAACAAAAGACTCAGTTTCTATGTAACTATACACCTTTACTGTAGCCTACTTATTAACTTTATCTCACGTGTTGGTCCTGTATACATTTTTAGATAAGCTTTTTTCTTTGTACTCGTTATCTGTGTTTTTCCTGATGAAAGTGACCTAACATGTTCAGAAAACTATGTGATGCTGAAACACCGTATTCGAAAAACACATTACTTGAACAGGGTTTGTCTTAAGGTGTGTATTTATGGTCATTGTGAGCTGTCGAGAGCATTTAAAAAAAAAACATTTTTATTACAAGAATATACATTTTGTCGGGAGAAAAACATTGTATGCAAACAAGAATCAATGTTATGTGTACACCGAAAAGGTGTGTTTGTTACTCTTTAAGATGATAACTCCGGTGATACTCCCTTAACAAATCCCATATAAAACTAAACCCACAAACCAGTCTGTGTGTCCATACTGGCGACACTGGGGCCTGTAGTATGTTTACTGACTTTTTGTTGTGCCAGCGAAACCTGTCCAGCAAGTTTTTTGACCAAAAAAAAGATAGGTTGTTTATACTTGAACAAAGCTCTGAAATCTTCACAGCCTTATGACAAAATGCACATGATATAGGTATCAAGTTGTGCAGAAGGGAACACAAAAATCCTTTTCATACTTCTCAACCCCAGCTATTAGTTCCCATCAGGCTCGGTTATACACTGACTTTGTTGCTGTATATATATATATATGCAGAACTGATTGTATCCATTTGTATTATATGACTTTGTTTCTGCTCCTACTTTTTGCTCTCACTATTGACTCTCGTCATAAACCACATTTTCTGGACAGCTATATGCAACCCACACAGAGTGTCCAGCCTGGTCACGAGGTTCTGCGATAGAGGAGATCAGTGACAGTGTAGGGACACACTGGCAGCTCAGATGTCTGCTCCCGAGCTCCCAGGGCTGCTGGCAGGTCGTCTTTAAATAGATAAGCACTTTATTTGTATGCTAGAAAGGGTCCCTGACCTCTGAACAAGGGTATTTCTCAAGCCTATCTGCGTCTCAAAGAGTGATTCAGCAAAACACTAATCGCTCTCTGGGTTAAATGAGGATGGGACAGGCCGATTACATTGTTTCTTCTGTCTTTTCCAGCTGAGAATTAAGCTAAAATGTGGTTGTAAATCAAAGAAGTGTTCTTCATGAACAAAAAATAAGCATCTCAGAAAAAAACGGTATGACAATGCTTAAAGTTTTGAAAGAGTTCCAATGATAAATCAATTAGGTGATTGACAGATTTTTTTTTTGAAGTGAAACTGGCAACAATTAGTGAGTTTGCTTGTTTTATATTGAAGTGCAGATTATATCTTTGGGTGTTGGGCTGTTGGTCAGTAAAAACAAACGAGTTGAAAACATCACCTTGAGCCCGTTGGAAGTGGTGACAAAAAAATGCACTATTACTGACAGTTTCTAGCCCAAACTAATAACCAAGGATAATCTTCAGATTAATCAATAGTGAAACTAATTTCAAGTTGTACACCTAATAATCAATTATGTCTGATCAGATCTCTGAAGTATTAAAATAAGAGCTCAGTAACAGTATTGATACCAACGGGTAGAATCATTTTTACATGCTGTTGTCACTTGTCTAGAATGTTTTTGTGATAGTTTTGCTTTTCCCTCCCCAGAGATTTTGCCATGTTTTCTGATGCTCTGGACGCTGCTGGGCGGGTGGAGGGCCTGCCGCTGTCCTCCCCACCGCCACTACCAGAGCTAGCAGAGGAGGAAGCAGAGGCCTCAGCGGAGAGGGGGCCGAAGAGACGAGGCCGTTACAGGCAGAGTCTGCAGCTTTTAAAGCCCTTCAGGATAACACACAGGTAAACACATTTTTATTTTAGGAGGCGTGTGGCGCAGTGCTTTGGTGTTCGGATCAGGGGGTCACAGGTTCAAACCCCACTGCAGTCAGCATGTCGTTGTGTCCCTGGGCAAGACACTTCACCCCAAATTGCTCCTGTGGGGATTGTCCACAGTATTGAGTATGTAAGTCGCTTTGGATAAAAGCGTCTAACAAGTAACATGTAATTTTATTTCTTCATGTTGGGACTCTGACAGAGAGCCAGATAAAGGCCAACCCAGACAGTTTGAGGCCGGCACATTAACAGGCAGATACCCATTTAAAGACACACTGTCACACACAGACACAAAAGTTCACATTTGTTGTGTTTGCTGCTTGATGTGCTGACTGTGAGGGAGTTGCAGAAGGCCATGATAAGAGATGGGAACTTATCCCCCGCCGGCAGACACATTCATGTTTGAACATTTGTCGACTGATAAACTGCCCTCTGAATTTATTTTTTCGCTGCTCTCTTAAATGTCTATGAAGACTGTGCAAATGACTGTTCAAACACTGCAGGCATGATTCACCTTTCATTGACTCTGGCAGGCAAAGGCGCCTCTTCTTTCCCAGCGGCCTACGCGGGCCTGCTACCCCAACATAGCACCTCTCTGAATACCTCCCTTTTAGAGTTCTCACCCTTTTCAATGTCTTCTCCGCTATTCCAGGCACCAGCACCCAGTCGATAACGCCGGCCTCTTTTCATTTATGACTCTGCACTGGCTCTCCCCACTGGCACTAAAGGCGTTCAGGGCGTCCAGCCTGTCTATAGACGATGTGTGGGGACTGTCTTGCCACGAAGCCTCTGAGATCAACTGCCAAAGGTGAGGTAACTGTGGCCCTTCTGAGGTTTGCCTCATGAAAGTGGCTTGCAATGTTCAAAAATACTCTATTTGATGCTGCAACACAGTATTGAGATAAGACATTACTCAAATTAGTTTCCATTATTAGTTATTTGCCACATTTCTTATCCAAGCGGACACATACAAGACAATTTTGAGCAGAATATGCTGTTTTTTTTCCCACTCCAATGTGAATTTTGTGCTTTGTGTCCTCTTTTAAAGGATAAGACTTAAACTCTTGACAAATACTGATACTTATTTACTAAACAAAACCACCACAATGAAATGAATCTTGACTAACAAGTTTAGCATGTTTATCTAGACCCTGTGCCAAAGATTTCAATTTTTGTACCAAAAATGTTTAATTGCTTCCCCCCACTGGGTGTGTCCCTTGGTTACCTTGAACATGGGAAGGTACATAGACAATTCCATGTGCAGTGTACTGCTGGCTTAAATACTAACTAGCGCACCAACATGAAAAACAAAACACTTTTATAAGAATATATGCACTTATTAATCAAGTTTGAGTTATGTTTGCTAAAAAAGAAATGTGACCAGCTATTCTTTTAAAAAAAATGAAGTAATTGTGACACATTTTCCCAGTTTTATGTCCAGTAGTTGTGAGTCTAAACGTGCTACTTACAGGCTGTGGAAGGTGAAAAGACAATACAGTAAAGACAGTACAGTAAATACAGTACAGTACACAAGACAGTATTAGCTTCTACTATAGGATGTTACGGGATCCCCTACTAATTTGCAAATAAACAAATGACTCATGAACAGTAGTGAATCAAGGCCTTGTGGGATTGTTGCCTTCTTTGCATGGTAATTCATCATTCGTGGAAATGTACTACTGTCATATTTGCTGAAGTGGAAGATTTTATGGGCTCGCTAGTTTTCCTTTTAACATAAAATCAAAGTCAAAATGGTGCTAAAATCCTGTAAAAAAAGTACCCATGTTTTGTAATGTAGACACGTTATGATACAAAGAGTGATCCATTTTAAGGTGAACAGTCATGTTTTTTTTGTTTCAAGCACTCAGTGGAGGTTGTTATATCAGGCAGTTTTCAGGTAAACTGATCTGTATCACACTGCTCTCACACTGCGATTATTTTTTGAACAAATATTGAGAAACCTTGTTAGCTTTCCCTGCCCTACACGTGAGCGATTTCAAACTCGGTACAGATCAGCTGATTCCCTGCCATGTAAACAACCTTCCGGATTTTATACGGCTCTCAATCGGTGCAGTGAGACTTAATTGATGAACATCCAGTCTTTCTTTACAAACACAGGATTGTGCTGGGATGGGTGGCTGCTAAGAATAGCTGGGATTAGAGATTACAGTGAGAGTTAGTGCCTGACTTTGGTGGTTATGTCATTATCTCCTGTACCCGTCATGCACTGTCACTTTCATTAGCTGCCATTGACTGGAGCCAGGCTGGAGCCCACAATGAAATGAAATATCCAGATATCCTGCCAAACCACAGCCTGAGAAATGCCCTGTAGTAATGCATTAATTCTATGAATGAACAATAAAGACTCACTATAATCTCATTAGGGGGCATTTAGGGTTTACCACTCACAGAAAATAAAACAAATGTTTTTTCCATCACTTACATGCGGTCGAGTCATGGCGCCGTGACTTGGCGATAAAGAGCATGGTGACTATTTGAGGAAGTTCACTCTTGTGTCTGGTGATGACTGTGTGGGTTGTAAATGACCGGTTCCTTTTAAAAGGCTCTGGCTCACGGCCTGGAGGTTTAGTGCTGCCGCTGCTGCTTTGTGTATGCTAAAGAGCACATGAAAGGGAAGCAGCACAGGAGCACAAAGCTATCACATTGGCACGGGTGGGCGATGGTGCGCTGCAGAGCCGCTGGAGACGGGAGGTCTTTATTTGTGTTAACATAGCAAGAACAGTTATGCAACCCCGATGCAAAGCGGAGATGATGGCGAGAGAGGGAATGGGAAAAGAACCCTGGGAGAGTTGACACTTGTTGGTGCTCAGTGAGGTGCGAACCTTGAACGCAATGTCCTGGCCAACACATTTGAGAAACATCAGCCTCGCCTGCCATCTGGCAAGCTGAGACGATGGCTGTTGGAACATGTCAGCCATGTTTAAAAGCAAATCGCTCCTTTTTTGGATCCCACACTGACGCGCCCGTTTCCATTCATCTGTGTGACCGTGCACACAATCAGAGGTGGAAGAAGTACTTATGCTTAGATTATTTACTTAAGTAAAGGTAGAAACACTACAGTGTGTTACAAGTACAAGTCCTGCATTCAAAGTATACTTTAAGTACCAAATGTAAAAGTACTCTTTATGCAGAATGACCCATTTAAGCACCATATACATTAAACTATTGTATACTAATTAATGATGCAATAACGTGTAGGTTTTATTTTATAGTGGGGTTGGTTGGTTTACTTTATATAAGACTGGGTTGCATAACATTAATAATAAATGCTAATTCATTATTAGATGTATATTTTGTGTTAAAAATTGAAATCTGAACAATAGCTAGTAACTAAATACATAAAATAAATGTATTGGAGTTCAAATATTTGCAGACAAAAGGTAGTAGCGTAAAAGTATAAAGTAGCATAATGTATAAGTAGAAGATCCTCAATTTTTTTATTTACTTGGTTACATTCCAGCAGTGGTTGGTAATGGTTTTTTCTTTGCTTCAAAAAAAGAACTATAAATACACATCACGTTGGATATTTAAAAAAACGATAAATACGCATCACATTGGATATAAAGTATATAAAATATTTACCATTTTATTCTGTATAGCTGCTCTTTTAATACGTTCCTTGCTTTGTCCATTTGATTTAGCAACACAAACCACTCACTTAAAAGTCTCATTACGGTGTCTCACGCTGTGCTCTGTGCAGCTATTAATTTTAATTTCTTAGATTCAACGCCATTTGACTTCAAGTAGTAATTATCAGGCTGTGTGAGAGTCTAGTTGGTTTAATGTTCTGTCTATCTCTGATACGTATTTAATAAAGTCATTAGGGCGTAAATTACTTTCTGCAGCTGCTCTGCTGCTGCTTTATAGAGTCATTAGCAATGATGCATTTGCCCAACACAATATTTTACCCTCTTCAAGGGGCATTACACGGCAGTAAAAGTACATAAGCACATCTTTGGTAACGTGTTTGGTAGTACCTTTCTCAGTTTAATGATGTGATGCATCATTCAAGATTGTATATTGTAGGTCACCTTTACATTATTACCAACTGCATTTTTCCTTTTGTAATGTTCAAGTGCCATAATGCCTGTATAACTGCTTATATCTCCCATTGTACTTTCAATAACAAGACATCTTTCAGAACCTGAAGTTAGTTAGCAATGTAGTGATGTTTGGTTGAGCTGTGGGTCAATAAATCATTTTGAGCTCCTGGTTTTTTTGTTTCCAGGCTTGAATCTTTGTGGCATGACGAGCTGAAGAGTCGAGGGCGCGAGGGTGCATCGCTGACAAGAGTCTTCTGGAGGTTCTGCCAAACCCGCGTATTGGTGGCCATCTTTTCCCTCCTCCTCACAATGGTGGCAGGCTTCATTGGGCCCGTGAGTATCGTCCAAATCCTGCTTTCCCTTTTATAATCTGCTGATTCGACTAATAGGCCTTTCAGCATGTTCGCTGTCTTGGAATCCCAAGTTGGGGTGTATTTTCTGAAAATCACTTTATCCCGTTTCACGCTGGTGTGGAAATTGAAATGAAAACATACTGAGAGATTACAAAGCTATTGAAACCCATATTAATGCCTTATATTAGCTGGTTTGTTCCCTGTCACGCTTTGGTGCCACACTTTGGGGTTTAGATTTCCCTCCATGGATGAGCATGAGACCACAGAGAGATTTAAAGATATTTATAAAAATCAGAAATGTCAAAAGTCACCTTAAACTAAAGGCTTATTATGTGTGGATTTCCCAGGTTATGATTTCACTCAGTCGGCCCGTTGTTCCTCCTGCGCTAAGCTGTTTATTTTGATGTCAGGTTATGCGAACACTATGTGCTTGCTATTTCCCGCAACTAATGGCATTAACTGGATTTAGTTCTCACACAATGACACATGTGTCTCACATTCCTGTGTGATTTATTTAGTACATAGCTCACAAAATGTGTTGTAAAACATTCTTCCTGCAGTTTATAAATGTAATGTCTGGGTTTATGTATTTGACACATCCAAAAATGTTGTTGCTTTTCTTCTGTCATTCCACTCAGGCCTTTTTATTGACAGCCTATCTCTTTGAACCCCTGTTGTCTATGCTTATGTTACTTATATGTTCTCTCTCCTCTTATCATTTTTATTAAAGGGGACCTATTGTGCAAAATCCACTTGTTCATGTCTTTTCTACATCAACATGTGTCCCCTCCTGTGTAAAGAGATTCTGAAAGTTTCAGGAAAAAAGATTCTCTCTCTTTTCGTCCTGATCCATTTATATAAAAACCTTTCTGAAAATGAGCTGATCAGATTTCGGCCACTTTATGATGTCATAACGATTTTTTGCCCCCCCCCCCCCCCCCCCCACCTTATCACCTGAATCTCCTCCTAGAGCACCTTTGTGTATTTTATTAACCAAATATCTCTCAGAGGGGCGTGGGGAGGGGCTCCTTAATTTCATCTAAAGTAAAAGACAGAGAATCAGCACTTTTGAAACAGGGCTGAAACAGAGGGGGTTATGGGATGCTATAATGCACGATCTGTTTGGTATTTGGAGCCAAACACTTCAGAGACATGTTTTGTATATATCTGAGAGAACTATAATATATTGATGAAGAACAGTATAATAGGGGACCTTTAAGTTCAACTGCCCTTCTTATCTTATCTATGGCATTTTCCTAATTGTACCCTCTCCTATTTATCTCCTTGTTCTTTTTCCTCCTCCTTGTCCTGTCCCGATTTTAGAGCTCAAAGTGTCCCTGTTCTGTTTCAATTTTCAAGGCTTTATTGTCATTTGCACATTAGCTGCAGTGTAGATATGGCAGTACAACAGTGCAATATAGATATAGGACATAGAACAAATAAAACAGATACAATAGTGCGAGAGAATGTTTGGAGATGTACAAGTAAATACAAATAAAATAGAAATCGTGCAAGAAGAGTCTATATACAAGTAAATGGAATTATATATTAGATAAATAATTTGCAAAATGGAATCGGATGAATGTTTATGGATGTTTTTTTAAAAGTGCAGGTGTTTAATAGTCTTATGGCCTGTGGAATAAAACTGTCCCTGAGTCTGGTGGTTTTAGACCTGATACTGCGGTTAGCAATAGTTACTATTTCTCCGCTGATTCTTTTACCTCCGTGTCCATCCTTTTGCTTTTCCTCCCTGTGTGTCCCCAGGCTCTCCTGGTGCGAGCTCTGCTGGAGTATTCCCAGAGTCCAGTGAGCTGCGTTCCGTACGGCCTGTCCCTGGTAGCCGGGATCTTCCTCACTGAGCTGATTCGCTCCTGGTCCATGGCGCTCATGTGGGCCGTCAACTACCGCACTGCAGCGCGCCTCCGTGGGGCCGCTCTTACTTTTGCGTTCCACAAAATCCTCCGCCTACGCCACACTAAAGACATCACACCGGGCGAGGTAGGTGATATAAAATCCTGGGGGGGGGGGGGGGGGACTCATCTCCAAATTAGCTAAATCACCCCTTGCTGCAGGGCGCTACGTGCAGTTGATTGAGATGGATTTAATTTCTGCTCTTACGCCATTTCTGCTTAGATCTCAGTAAATCCCATAGCCTGAGGGAGGGGAGTCTGTCTAAGATTAGTCATTACACAGCTTAAGAGGAATCATTGTCCAACAAGAAAATGTGCGAATAAAGGGTAACTGTATTTGTAAAATAGATTGTAAGGTTTCAGTGCATCCTGCTTGAAAAGATGTAGGTCCTTGTACATTTTTAAATGTGATTTGTAATCTTAATTCCCTGTCTCTCTCCCTAGCTGATCAACATCTGCACGAATGACGGCCAGCGGCTGTATGAAGCAGTGTCAATAGGCTGCATGCTGGCTGGGGGGCCCCTGGTGGGAATACTTGGTCTGTCCTACACTGCATACTTCCTGGGCCCCACTGCTCTGCTGGGCTCAGCAATTTTCGTCCTCTTCTACCCTACCATGGTACGACTTCAGACAGAACTTTTGAAACACTGAGACAAAGGACAGAACGTGTTTTCAGTTCAACTTTTGAGGCATTTGCACAGTGCTGTTGTTACAGAGGAGCCACATTTAGGAGTTTACACGCTCACAAATTATACTATATTGATACACACACCCAAACACAGACTACTGTCAGAGTTTTTTTAGTATAGAGTAAATTGCTGTCAACGAAAAAACATAGTTTCATTACAGACTTTTAGAAAATTGATACCAAGTAATGATCGCACTCATTAAAGCAGTGACAAGCGTTTTAATTACAACCATTCCTAAAAACTTTTACCAAAAGTTATTATCGTAAATGTTACAGCTGAGACAAGCAATTTCATTTAATACATTTCTTAAAGTTTTACCAAAGTTAATCAGATACTTTATTGCTGACTCATTAGTTTCTGAGCAAGGACTTAAAGTAGAGTAAAATCTTTGCTGTAATTCAGGCTGTAGAAGCATTTTTAAAAGCATCATAACTCTTCGGCTATCAATCTTCTGTCAACTTTGTAACAGTTACTTTCAAATCACACTCAGTCTGCGTCGGCGCCTGACAGCCGGAGACCCTGGTATTGTTGTGAGAGGCATTTATCACTCTGGTCCCCCGGACAGGCCTGCAGCACGGCTAATGTGATTGTGTCTGCTTTCATTTCCTCCCCTGCCACTTATTTCTCTTGTCATCATTTCCTCTCTTCCCGTCTGGACAGATGCTCGCATCGAGACTGACGGCATATTTCCGCAAAAAGTGTGTGACAGTGACTGACCGCCGCGTGAGGTTGATGAACGAGATCTTGGGCTGCATGAAGTTCATCAAGATGTACTGTTGGGAAGACATCTTTGCAAAGAATATTCACAGTGAGTGTCTGTCATGTTCCCAAATGACTCGGCTAGATCATAATCACCGTTCTCACAGGTCCTCGAGTCCTCAAATGTTTGTACATTTCGGGAGGATGGGGGTGAGCATTTAAAGATTTTAAAAATAAACATTATTAGACATGTTTCTCTTGACTGTATATATTTTGTCCAAGTTTGTCCAAAGTTATTTGTGATATTCTTTTAGGGAAGAAGGCCTGAAAAGTCCTTGAATTTGATGTTTAAGAAGGTGTGGGAACCCTTCTTAATGCCCTGCTCATTTCACATTTGTGGTCAGGACCCGGGAGCTTTCGAGATGCAAAACGTATATAATTAAGTGCTTAATTAGGCTTTTTATTCACAACTCGCCTAGATTAAAGAATCACCTCATTTGAACACCTGTCACTGTGGCAAATTAGTAACTAAATGGTCAGTTTATCACATGAAATTAGACTTATACTCTTGGTGAATTGGCGAGATAACCCTGACCCTAAATCTATTTTCATTAACTCATGTTGTTTAAATCGTTCCCAGTGCTATCCTCTAATCAGGGGCCAGTCTGAATCCCTTGGCTTCAAGGTTAATTTGCAAGGTTTTTCGGGGCCGTATGATCGCTTGATTGGTTGTCAAGGCTGCTTATCCATGAATTAGCCATGGTCTTTTATCCCTTGCTGTATGTTGTGGACAATATCATTCCCCCATTTTAATCATGCTTCTAATTAGCCAGGTGGGGCTCGTTTTCATGGCTGTCCTTTGATCACCTCTTATAATGACAATTAATTGCCATGCAGCTTAATGGACAGTGAGTTATAAGAGCTGCACTGTTATTCCCCTCAATTACTATTGTTGTTAAATTGATGATCCCATTGTTTCTGCCCTGGGCACGTGAACTTCACTTGGTGATCCTTGCAGAAAAACACATCATATTCAAAGTGAATCCCATGGAGAGTAATGATAATCCTATGGAGTACCAGGAGGAGGGAGTTCTCATATTTCACGCTGTGCATGCTGCAGTGTCTAAATGAAAGATACACATGCTTTTGGTTCCAGTGAATGCACCAAATGAACTGGGTGAACAAAGCAGCTAGCAGAGTGTATTTGAGAGATACCAACATGGAGGAGGCGGGGGGGCAGGATTTGGGCATTACACACAGTTATCATGGTTCAACAGGTTTTGAAGCCTTCTACATACCATGTACGGATACAGGGCCCTCACACTTCCTCTTGTTTCTATTTCTGTCAACTAGCTGTGTATTGGTTCGTGGCTCTTGAGACGTTGTTGATTGAATTTGAAACAACCATTGGGGGTCAATGAACTCATACTTTATTTCCTCTCTCTTTCTGCCTGTCTTTGCCTCTTTATCATCTCCCTCTCTCTCATCTCCTCTACAGAGGTGCGATCAGAGGAGAGGGGAATACTGGAGAAAGCTGGTGTCGTCCACAGCCTCACAGTGGGTGTGGCTCCCATCGTCGTGGTGATAGCAAGCGCATGCACTTTCACCCTGCATATGGCTTTGGGCTATGACCTCACTGCAGCTCAGGTATTAAAACATGTTATTCTATACCCACCATGCTGCATATATCAACTTCCGATTCGTCTTCCTTCACTGGAAACGCTAGATATGTTTCTCCAGATTATATTTAAAATATGGTTTCCTATTTTTTTTGTTATAAAATGAAGATTATTTACATTAAATTGATATTTTAACAATTTGATTTGATGTTACAAGTCTCTTGCTGTTATGAGCATTTGTACATTTTAAAGTCAGCAGTAGCCCCAGGGAACGTGTTTGTGCATAACTGTCTCAATTTCTACACTTCCTACCTCAGGCTTTCACTGTAGTTGCAGTTTTCAACTCCATGACCTTTTCCTTGAAAGTCACACCAATGGCTGTAAGGTCACTGTCGGAGGGCGCCGTCGCAGTTAAAAGATTTCAGGTGAGAACACCTTAGACAAGTCTGACAACTACCTCTCACAGAGCCAACACAAAAATATGTTCCCAAACGCATCACTGATATGTACACAATGTAATTGAACACAACCAGGTATTGTTTAACTTCAAGGTTCAGTCAGTGAGCAAACAGGTTGTACCATTCTTACAGCCAATGAAAATATGCTGTTGTTGATGCTGAAAGACACCTGCCTACACCCCATGCTGACATAATACTTTCCAAACACATGGTAAAAGTCACATGTTAGTGAGGAAAGGTTTCACAGAGCCAGCTTGGGTTAAGTAAGCAAGAGTTTCTGCCAAGGATGCACTAAAAGCCCTCAGGCATTCTGTGGTTTTGAGTGCAGAATATAATAAAATAATCACTTAAGTAAGTAGAGAACATGCAAAGCTAAGTAATGTATATGCACGGTGAACATGTCTCACATAATAGCCAAGGCTCAAGTATGTTGCACCATGTTTTTCCTTTTTAAAGTACGCAATGGCAGAAACCTTGAGCTTGTTTTCATTCATTTATTGTACTTGTGCATAGAAGAAAAAACTGTCCCTTTTTTTTAAGTCCAATAACATAACATGTTGTGTTCGTCTCCACAGAGGCTCTTTATGATGGAAGACAGAGAGGTTGTTTTGCTCAAAATGGAGGATCCTAGCAACGCCGTGGAATTTCGGGATGCCACACTGGCTTGGGAAAAGGCTCGCCCTCCTCCTGCTAAACCTAACCCACCTCCGAAGAAACGGGGAGGGATGAAACGCGTGCTGCGCAGGGAGAAGCTCAGCCTGTACATTTCCACAGAGGAAGGCAAAGGGAACAAGGAAGTTCCTAACGCTCAAAGTCTCCTCACTAATATGGAGCAGGAGAGTCCACAAAGCACCATCTCCTCCACACAAAGCATACGGCCTCCACTGCACAAGACCCTGCACCGCATCGACCTGCGCATTAAGAGGGTAACAACACAAGCATATACACCAACAAAGTCGAAGGGCATTTATATTTAAAGCGTCGGAAAAACCTGCAACTGTTTGTATCCCTTTTTGTAGGGTTCACTGGTTGGAATCTGTGGAGGCGTCGGCACAGGAAAGAGCTCTCTTCTGTCCGCTCTACTGGGACAGGTGAGGTTGTTCAGTTCCTGCAAAGACATGAATAGCATCCCAAAGGATAGTCTTCTTGAACCTTATGTTTCTTTTCTTACCCAATGCCGCACAAGGACCCACAATTTCAAAAAGGAATGTTTCAAGTGTTTTCTCTGCGTCATCCCTTTGTTCCAGATGACCCTGTTAGAGGGGAACGTAGCGGTCAGCGGCGGCTTTGCTTACGTCGCTCAACAAGCCTGGATCCTCAATGACTCACTGAAGGAAAACATCCTGTTTGGAAACGAGTATGACCCGGAGAAGTAAGATCAACTCCTGTATATTAATGATATGATGAACAAATGCAATAAAGCTTGAGATTAATCCTCATTTAACACATTTCCTCATCAGATATAATGCTGTCCTGGAAGCCTGCTGCCTTCTCCCAGATCTTGCAGAGCTCCCATACGGGGACATGACTGAGGTATCTGCTTGTAAATAATATTATTTTGTAATTTAAATTGAATGCTTCTTTTATCGTGCCTGCAGCAGTCTTAGTTTATGCAATTGATTGTTTGAAATTCAGTGCAACCACAACGAGAGGAGACGTTTTATTACTTTTTTTCCCCTAGATTGGTGAGAGAGGGGCCAACCTGAGTGGAGGGCAGCGCCAGAGAGTGAGTCTGGCCCGGGCTCTCTACAGCGAGCGGCCCATAATGCTCCTGGATGACCCTCTCAGTGCGGTCGATGCTTGTGTGGGTTCCCATGTCTTCCATAAAGCTATCAAAGCTGCCGGCAAAGACAAGACGGTGCTCTTTGTAACGCACCAGCTGCAAGTAAGCCACCATGGGAATTTCAAAAATATCATTTTTCTCAAATCTGGATTTATATTTTGTAGTTTCAGCGTCCTTAAAATATTCAATGATTTATTGATGATCAGCTTATTGATATGTGCCTGTTCTTTTATCTTATTTTTCTAGTACCTGCCCCAGTGCGACCATGTGATTCTGATGAAGGACGGGCAGATTGCAGAGCAGGGCTCTCATGCTCAGTTAATGTGTAGAGAGCGTGACTATGCCAGCCTATTCAACAGCATGCAACACGAGGTAAGGCCAGGGGCACATGTGGATCCAGGCCAGCTCTTTTTAGTAAGGCATCTTTGCCCCCAATGCACAAAAACATTGAACAATACAAGCTGAATAATTCATAAGGCCAGAAAGGCAACCCCGGTAGCTGGAAATGTTAATGCAAACATGGCCTTTCATTATTTATGCGTGCATTGATTTACTGGTGAAAGGCTAAAGACTCTGTCAGCGATATCTCACTTGAAATGACTTGCAGTGTGTTGTTCCTGCTGCTGAGATTTGTTGCGGTGGCATGTTTTAAATCTCACCTCCTTTCCTTTATGTTTCTGTCTCTTAGAATCTGGTGAAAGAGAATTTAAAAAACAAACGGGAAGGTGCAGTAAAGCCTGACAGTGTGGTCGATGTTGCCAAGGCCGTGCCGAAGGCTGAAAGCAAGAAAGGAGGTGAGAGACCCTGACACTTGTCATGCTCCACATGTAGAATAGATGCTTTTTTTTCTTCTTGAGAATGTTTTACAAGTTATGTTTTTTTTATTCAGAGTGTCTGATGAAAGCTGAGGAGAAGGGCTCCGGTGCAGTCGCCTGGTCTGTGTATGCGGCATACATCAAAGCAGCAGGAGGTCCAATAGTCTTCATCATCAACGTATTCCTCTTCCTCTCCACTACAGGCACCATAGCCTTCAGTAACTGGTGGCTGAGTCACTGGATCAGGCAGGGCAGTGGGGTGAGTGTGAAGACGATCCTGCTTTACTATAATACACGCCATTGGCTCCCAAAAGAAAAATAACGACTATGCTCCAGTGAGTTGTGGCAGCACACTGAGCATTAATCTGAATGTGCATGATTACAAAAAGTAACGGCTCCACGGTAAACTTAATTAAACCCAAGCACAAGCAGTGAAGAAACAGATGTGTGGCAAAGCAGGCGCTGGCTGCTATGAGAAATGTGATTGGAATAGTAAACATCATTGAACTGACTGATTTTCATGTAATTTTTTGTATTCCAAAATGGGCTTTTCACACTCTCATTAGTGGCAAATATCCTTCAATTGGAAGAATTGGATTTTGTTTCTTTCACTCTTAGTAATGTTTTGCTCCATCTGCCCTCAGAACACATCATTAATCTCGGAGAATGAAACGATGGCGAGCAACAGCATGAGACTCAACCCTCACATTCAGTACTATTCCACTGTTTACGTGGCGTCCATGGGAGCTTCTTTGCTGCTGAAGACAATGAGAGGGCTGGTGTTTGTGAAGGTGAGCTTCCTCAGAGACTCCCCTCTTTCCGTCACATGCTTCGTCAGCTGGGATGAACTGCAAAAACCATGGCGTTGTTTGAAAGGAACATGAGAAAGGTTGATATAATAGCGGTGTACAGTTAAGCAGTGCGTCTCCCTAATTGTCTTTATTGTCATTTGTTCATGCTCTCATGGTTCCAGTGCTATAATTGAAAATGCCTGTAGGCCAAATCCATTTATCTGTCCACTGCCATGTCTCACAGCTTAACATGTTCGTGTGTGTGTGTGAGAGAGAGAGAGAGACAAAGGGGCAGAGAGAAAGGAAGGATGTGTGTGCCTGCATGTCAGTGCCCCTTCGGGTGTGCGTCCTCTTTTTCAAGCTAACCCATCCTGACACTGTGTTGCAGAGGTTAGGTCCCCACATTAATGTGTGCCACTTGAAATTGCTAATTCTCCAAAGACGGCTAATCTTTTTCTTACCCCCAGCTGTTAAGAGATCTTTTTGAGTGTTGAATATTCCATTAATAGAATTAATTTGTTCTCTGCTGCCACTTGTAATTTCTGTCTTCTTGGTGAAATGTATCTTGCTCATTAGGTCATGACCTTTGTGTCAGCCTCCCAGAAACTCGTTATAAATGAAGATTTGACAGCTTGCCTTGTGCAATAAAAAGAAAAAAAAATACCCACCGCTGTGCACATGTTTAGCACACGGTGAAGTAGAGTTTATATCTCTGCAGGCAACATATGAGTGCCACTGTATTTCCATCCATCGCGTGTTTTGGTGTTTTGAGGCGGAGCACATTGACAGGCGATTTCCTTCCAAGCGACTTGTTTATCCGTGCCGTGATGCTTTCCGTATGTCTCCTAAAGTTGTTTGTTTCCATGTGTCAGGTCTCATGTTGAAGCATGGCTGTTGTTTGTGTTGACAGTGCACGGTGAAGGCTGCCTCCGTGCTCCACGACAAGCTGTTCCGCCAGCTCCTCCTCAGCCCTATGCACTTCTTTGATACAACCCCCCTGGGTCGTATCCTGACCCGCTTCTCCAGAGACATGGATGAGGGTGAGTCCTGATTTGTCCTGACTGTGAACCGTCCCCCAGGAGGGCTCTCAGTCAGGGAAGTCACGCTGGTTGACAAGGTGTACTGCCAAGAGTCAGTGTAGTTTCTCATAGCAGTATTTTATGCACTCCGCTGGTAGCTATGCTTTACTTGTTGATTTTGTGGGTTGATGTTATTTTGGGTGGTTGGATTATTTCTAAGTATAATGTTTTTTACACTCTAAAAAAACCCAGCAAAACCCATTCAGGGAGACAGAAAAGTTCTCTTTAAAAATAAGCATTTAGTTGCCATGGGTCTTGCAGGTTGAGCAGATACTGGATGATTGTTGTTTCTCTTACCACCTTCTCTCAAAAAAGTGTAACTACTGAAACTGACATCTGAACAGAGGCCAAAAGATGTGTTTATGCAAACGGATATCTGAAGTAAGACGTCATGTGATATTCATGTAGAATTTAACAAGAGCTTAAATTCGAAAACTTGTACGAATAATAATAACAACAACAACAGGCAGGCTATTTGTACTTTTTAGTGAACAGCAGGGATCCTAAGGTTGCTGGGAGATATAAAGAGCTGGAGAGAACCCAGAGGACCTGCATTTATTTGTAATGATAATAATAGGTTGCAGTTGTGAGTAATAGAGAAAGGTATTCTATGTTTAATTAATTGTTTTATTACATTCAGGGAAGCCAAATGTTATTTTTGAACAAGGTGCCTTTTTAAAGAATGTCCTTCCTTTGTTTAAGTATTATTTGTTGTACTTGCCTTGTGCCATCATGTTGTTATTATTGTATGTTCGGTTTGAGCTACATGCTATGTGTTGATGGACCTGAACCAAGTAATGACAGTAATGAAACCGATGGGTCAGACATCATACAGTGTGTCTGATATATAATATGTGTTTTCTCCAAAGTGGATGTGCGTCTCACCATGCAAGCTGAGATGCTGCTGCAGAACCTGACCCTGGTGCTGTTTTGCTTGGGAATGGTGAGCATTGTCTTCCCGTGGTTCCTGATCTCCATCCTGCCCATCGGAGCCTTCCTCTTCGTCATCAACCGTGTGTCCAGGTCAGACTCTCATCACTCCTGCTGTTATCTTTGCTATTGGCTATAAGCCTGGGATTCAAACACACCTTATATACACCTTTGCACATTATACTTCATCTCCCTGCAGACTTAGCAGTGTTATGTCTTGATAAAGTACTATAGTTACTTTAAAGGTCCCCTATTATACTGTTTTTCATTACTTTATTATAGGTCTCAGATATATACAAAACATGTCTCTGAAGTGTTTGGCCTCGAAACACCAAACAGATCATTGCAGCATCCCATAAACCCCTCTGTTTCAGCCCTGTTTCAAAAGTGCTGATTCTCTGTCTGTTACTTTAGATGAAAATAAGGAGCCCCTCCCCACGCCCCTCTGAGAGATATTTGGTTAAAAAGAACACAATGGTGCTCTAGGAGGAGATTCAGGTGATAAGGGGGGGGGGGGGGGCGGGGTTACCTTGGTTATTGATTGGCTAATGGTTACACAAGCCAAAAAATCGTTATGACATCATAAAGTGGCCAAAATTTGATCGGCTCATTTTCAGACAGGTTTTTATATAAATGGATCAGGCAAAAAGTGAGCGAATCTTTTTTCCTGAAACTTACAGAATCTCTTTCCACAGAGGGGACACTTGTTTATGTATAAGAGACATGAAAAAGTGAATTTAGTATAATAGGTGACCTTTAAGTGGTAACTTGTAACTGCGAGCTCCATTAGTCACAAGGGGCAGAAAAACATCCAAATAAGACAACAGATACAAACTGACACATAAAGCTAATCGTTAAGTGTTGACAAACAATTGCTGGCAGACACATTTGCATTTGTTTAGTTTACATTTAGCTTAGTTTAGATCTCTACCATATCCTTAGACAAATATCAAGGTTTAAGCTGCTAGCTAAAGACAGTTCATTACATTATAAATGTACTTAAAAGGAGCTTCCTGTATGTGGTCTATTTAATGAGATGTCTCCTGCTGTGCACAACAACATTTATGGCATCACAACTCATAATGATTATTAATTACATGAAGAGGGGTTATTGGAGGGTACTGAAGGTAAATAACTGTGAAAGAACTGCAGTGATAATCGTTATCTGCGAGGGTGAGGAGGGTTATCAGTCATTGATAACATTTTTCACAGCTTCTGTTCTGTGTTAAATGTTGCATGAGCGCCCCGGATGATCTGATGACTCCGCTTTAGTCATTATTTATGGTTTTACAGCAATTGTGCAATAAAGGTGAATCCACTGAGGGGAACAGCTCGCTGGTGTCTTGGGAAATAACCACAGTATCTTGTTATTTCCTGTATCTGAGAGAACATAGACATGACTCTGTGTTGTTGATGTGCTGGTGTAAAGACAAAATGTAATAGCATGTACGATCAAGTTGAATGTTTTGGGGGAGACCCGCTCACAATCAGACCCATCTGCGATTTACCCCTCGATATCTTGTCCCCACATGAACTGTAATGCTTGACTTCTTTAATCAGATCTGACACCAGCTTGTCTCTTGAGGGATCCATTTCATTATAAAATATCTTCATGTATAAGAGAAGCTTAATTTGTAGGCAATGCAAGTGGAATTAATGTGTAACTTTGATAGATTATTAACCAAACAAGATCTAAGAGGAGAAGATGATCCCCAGCTGGTAACACTTTTAAATTAAAAAAAAATACTCTATTTTGCAAGTCACGACATCCCAGGATATGTATAGATGTTGCATCAAACTGGATCTCCCATGGAAATTACCCACTTCTAAAGCAGCCCCTTTTTATTGAATTCTGAAATTAAACTGCCCAGGGCATAAACATGTTTGTCTGGATCACCGCCTCCAAGCGGGGAAGTGTCATGTTCCTTTCCCTCCTTTCTTTTGGGCTTTTATGAGAAAACCAAATGATTCATGGGAGACCCGTAATTCACATGCACCATCCATTTTATCTTGGTGTCTAAAAGTAGAAAGAGAACCCACCTTTGTCAACAAACCTCTCTCGCTCACACCACCCTGTTGACGGTGAGGCAGGGGCTCATAACATAGCACATGCGTCAGATGGTGGGAAACGACCTGGGCTTTCTTAGAAAAATGGGTGCTGTGGACCGTGTTCCTCTCTGTGTCATCATTACCTGCCCCACATAGCACTGCATCATTAGAGCATTTCTCCAGACGTCATTCTTCAGTCAGATTTCAGCATGCAGGTGTAATGTCTGTGCTTTTTTTAGAATCTTACTAAATAACAAAAGTGGTTGGTGCCTGCCAACAATCTCAGTTTGATCAAAATGTGACATGTTAGATTTTGAAATCAGGCCAAGGTACTGAAGAATACCAAAGTTTTGTTTTTTATATTTCATACAGGATTCAACAGTCCTTGTTGGGGCTAAAAGAACAGTATTTCTCATGAGTCTTTCCAACTAATTATTATTGTCATTTGTTTGAAGGATTTGCTAATCACATGCCTTATCCTATCTGCACATAATACCCTAGCATTTTCATTCAAATGAGGCAAACCGTATTAGGATTTATGTTCACAACTGCTTAGGGTTACTAATCAAAACAAACAGCATTTCTGGAGTTAGTTAATACCTGCCCCTAAAGAAGCATGCATTTTGAAGACAATATAACTTTCAATCAATCATATGATGTTGACACTTTGCATTAGCACACGATTAATTACATATTTGCAAAATATTGATAAATATAAACAAATTCCTATAGCAGTTGCGTTAAATGTTAAATATTTCTCATTTTACAGGGTTCTGATTCGCGAGCTGAAGCGGCTGGAGAACATCAGCCAATCACCATTCACCTCTCACATCACCAGCAGCCTTCAGGGACTCTCCACAATCCACGCCTTTGGAAGAGGGCACGACTTCCTCCAAAGGTGAGTAAAATAACGATGCCTGTCAGAGAAGGATATGATTCAACTTCAATTTTCTCTCATCTCGTTGTAGTTTTCAGTTTAAGCTTCGTTGGGTGAAATTTGCAAACTTCCAACAACAAAATGTGCTCTCAGAAAAGGCATTGAAATAGGAGGGTTGAGTTGTTCTTTTGGTTGATATGGGTTTATCTCTTTTTTTCCAGATATCAGGATCTACTGGACACCAACCAGGCCTCCAACTACCTCTTTAGCTGCGCCATGCGTTGGCTGGCTGTTCGCCTGGACCTCATCAGCATCACTCTCACCACTGGTGTAGCTCTTTTCATTGTCTTCATGCACAAACAGATACCTCCAGCCTACGCAGGCCTCGCCATATCGTACGCAGTGCAGGTTTGTAAAGAAACTCATGCAGTAGCACAGAGTGAATGGAGACAATGGCAGCCCTAGTAGACTTATAAGGGCTTATAAGAGGCTAGTTTCAAGCTTCAGACAGGATTAGAAATGCAGCAAAGTAAAGCCTGCCCAGTTTCTAAAAGCCTTGTTATAGTATTATAGCCTTTAGCTCAACAGCAGTATAGAATTGTTTACTATTTTCAAGTGGCTTTTGTTTTGCAGAAGTAGCATGAACTCGCTTTAAATGATCAACATGGGATGCATCAAAGTAACAGCGTATCTTAAAGTCCCCTTGTGTGTTATGTAGCTTTTTATTCATGTAAACTCTAACACAGAAAAGACCTGTCTATGCTGCCCCAGAACGCCTCGTTGGAGATTTCTCTTTTTCCATTGTTTACTTCTTGGGTATAGTGACGTATTTCGGGTATAGTGACGTAACGTAACGGCTCCGCAGATTGGTCCAAATGGCTGCTGCGAGGAGCGGGACACTGTGAGCTGGCTCACTGGTGTGGGGTCGGCGAGACAGCGAGACACCGCGGAACTCAGCCTGGGCACACACACAAACTCCCAGCCAGGCTGCGGGTGTGTGTGTTTCGGGCTGGGTTTCGCTGTGTCGCAGACAGCCACTGGGCTCACAGGGAGGGGGGGGGGCAGGAGCTCCAACAAGCCGTTTAGGACAGAGAGTGAATACACATACTATACAGATGCTGTATGAGAAACCAATGTGAGTTTGGAAAATTGCACAATATAAATGTATTTTAGTAGACCTCAACAATGGAATTATGATCAGTAGAAATGGCCATGAAATGGGACCTTTAACCATTAACCTCCCACCCCTCTTTTCTCTCACCCCCAGCTGAACGGCCTGTTACAGTTCACCGTGCGGCTGCTCACAGAGACCGAAGCTCGCTTCACATCAGTGGAGAGGATCGATCATTATATAAATGTAAGAGCATCGATGAGTAAGGTGGAGTATTTAGTATATGTTCACAGAGACTGGTATAATGTCTTGAATCCCAGTCGGCTCAGAATAGCTCAGAATAACAGACCATGTTAGCTGGCATGCCTTCACGTCTGTGTGTGTGTATTCTTGTGTGCACTTGATTGTGTATGTGTAATAAACACAGCAGGAGGCAGATAGAAACCCAGTGTGAGGTCTTAACACACTCCAGAGCACATGACAGGGCTTGTTTCACACCACAGTCATCAAACGACAAAGATACGAATATCAAGTCTCCTTTTTTTTCCTTTTCTTCGTTTCAAGTGCAGACAAAAGCTCCTTGAGATCAAATCTCTACACATCAGTTAGGGAGCTTGCACCTCAACAGAGATTTAGAGATTAATACCAGATACCATCTCCGTTCCTTATCTCAGAGTCTCGAGAGTGAAGCCCCCCGACAAAGTCCCTCAGCAGATGCTCCTGCCCCCTCCTGGCCTCAGCAGGGGAACATCACCTTCCAGGATGTGGAGATGCGTTATCGTGAGGATCTGCCGCTGGTGCTGAAGAATCTGTCCTTCACCATCGGGCCGGAAGAGACCATCGGCATTGTGGGCCGTACGGGATCAGGTATAAGTGACCCCTTCTGTCCCCAAGCCAGCAGAATTTGCAGCTCGTCGTTACATGTATTTTATCAACGTGAACACACATTCCTTCTCACTGTAGCTTCTCTCTGTGTGTTTGCAGGAAAGTCGTCTCTGGGCGTAGCTCTCTTCAGACTCGTGGAGCTGACTGGAGGCTCGATTATCATTGACGGAATCAATATTGCACAGATTGGTCTGGATGATCTGCGAAGCAAGCTAGCCATCATTCCTCAAGAGCCGGTACTCTTCATCGGAACAGTCAGGTAATTCAAAGACAGTTACTTATATAAACAAGCTGATTTACTGATGCACTAATCCTGCTTTGAAAAATATAAAAAGCAGAGCCGAGGGAATAATTAGATTAAATAAAGATGTCATCTCCTAGAGTGTTTTTTTCACAGCTAGCACAGGAGATATACACGTAGCAACGCAGCAAAAGATAGCAACTCAACATATTGATAGCAACATATATACGTGTTGCATCATAGATATTGACAGTAATTAAAAACATAATATATGTATTCATGTTTTCCCAGCTTTTGTTTTGATTGAGAGACCGTATTTCCGTTGAGATTGAGATGCATGGCAAAGATATCAGCAACAGTTACACCTCAAAGACCAAACCACAGGCTTAACAGCAAAGAAATGTTTTTTTGACGTCAATAAGCAGAATATATTGCTCATCAGTGCCTGTGATCCTGTTTGAATACTTTACCCATATTCTACTATTTGCCTGAAAATAGCTTTTCTAGAGATGTTTGTTTTTGTACTGGATACCATTTATGAGTATGAGTCTAGCAGGGATATGGGACTATAATGATATGGACGATGTATCTATTAGCGTGAATGTAAAGCCACACCACAGGGAAATCACTGCAGAAACAAAAATGGTGCTCGGCATGGGAAATGAAAGAAGAGATACGCTAAATTTGACAGCAAGACAAACAAAACATCAGCACTGCTTTTATAACCTCTGCGTATAGTGATCCGAGGGGAAGGAGTGCAGCATCGTCAGTTTATTGCATTGCAGCTCTTAATGGGAATTTGTCATAATGTTTAATCCAGTTAATGACCATCACAATGATATCTTCTTTCCATTAGGACCAATTTAGACCCATGGGATCAGTACTCCGATTCGCAGATATGGGAAGCTCTTGAGAAGACGCATATTAAAGAGATGGTAAGTGACAAGATGGCTGAACATTGTCACATTACAACGAATGATGCATTACTTTAATAAAATAAGCCCCTAACATTTGCTTTTACACCACCTTTCGGCCTTCCTCAGATCAGCCAACTGCCTCACACGCTCCACTCAGAGGTGACGGAGAACGGAGAGAACTTCTCAGTGGGGGAACGACAGCTACTCTGTGTGGCCAGAGCCCTGCTGCGCAACAGCAAGGTGCTGATTATATAATGCTACTTTAATACCACTAGCTCACATGAACGTGGGACATTGTTTGACATGGATGATTATGGCAGCTCCAGTAAGATGTTACCCTTAGTTTTATATCAAGAAAAAACAACCTCCCCGTATGGTGTGCATGTGTCACTGCATGGGTTAACACTGCCACCTAGTGGTCAACACCAGAACTGCACCTCATACACTGGTAATAAAGCATGCAAAGGCATACAGAATATAACTTGTTGTACTATGAATACAGCAAACACAGGCACCAACTCCACGTCTCTAGTTGGATAATGTAACCTCCTCTTTTTTTGTTTAATGATGTAACATTTGCTGTTTTTTGTTGTTGTTTTTAGGTCCTTATATTAGACGAGGCAACAGCAGCCATCGACACTGAGACAGACCGCCTCATCCAGCAGACCATTCGCTGTGCGTTTGGCAGCTGCACCACCCTCATCATCGCCCATCGTCTGAACACTGTGATGAGCTGCAGCAGGGTCATGGTCCTGGACAACGGCCAGGTGTGTATAAATGCAACATGACTGATTGGATGATTGCACCGTAGGGCCCCTCGGTTGAAACTCATTCCCAGGTTGAAACACACTTGATTTACTGTGTGGATTGCCCCCTGCGAGGTGATGGATTGGATCAGGCAGCGCACATTTTATTCAGACGGTGTGTATGAAAGCTGACATTTGATGCGAACATGAGATGCACGCAAATGATTACAGCTTCAGTGACACCCTTTAACCCTGGTAATAGGCTGAGTGTGCTTCTCTCAGGCTTCATCAGTGTGAAGAGTTTAAAGTGAGGGATGCATCCCCATAGACAAGGCTCAGGCTGTAATGAACCCCTAATTTGTGACCGTGAAGCTCTACGGTCTCTCTGTGCCAGTAAAAAGGTCGTTTTTACACAGACTTTAATGAAGTTGACTTATTTTATTTATCTTGAGATAGCCCTAAATGGTCTTATTTCTGTAATCGATTGCATTAAGCAGCATTTATTCAGCTTTAATGGCTGCAGCTCAATTTGCTATGGTGTTAACCATGTAGCCATGACAACTTAGTTTTTAATTCAAGCTCCAAATGTGTTCATCAACTTATCCTTGTCTGTCTGTATTGTGAGATGTAGAAGAATAAACATTTGAGTGTAAAGTACCTTTTTAAAAATCCTTTGGTTTCAGACACTTGCGTCATACACCAAGCATAACAAAGCTGTCTGCGGTCAATATTTTCCAGACATTAGAATTATTTTCATACGCTGCCTGCAGTATCCTTAGAGAAAAAAAGATGGCGTGATTTTTGTTCTCTGTTAAAACTTCATGGAATGAGCAAGCTGAACTTCTGATTTGACTTTTGATATGCTGGCACTGATGGCGTTTTATCCTTTTTCATCCTCATAGATTTTGGAGTTTGACAGCCCCACTTCTTTGTTGGCAGACGAAAACTCAAGATTCAGAGCCATGATAGAAGCATCAGAAAACCAAAGCAGATAAAAGACACTGGAGCTGAACTGTGACGTGAGAGGTGACGCTACAAAATATTCAGTGGAAAACCTAAAATGCACAAAAAACACCACTCAGTCCTGCAGCAGTGGGAGAGTGAGGTGTAGATACAAAAAAGTGTCTCTGACAACGGCTTCTTTGTGTAGCAATGTCTGTTTATTTCCAAACCAAAGACCCAGGGACCACATTTTGTGAAGGACGAAGCAGAACCGCTTCCTGCTCTTTGTGGAGGCCAAATAATCATCTGCAAGTGAAACAGAGCAACGTCTCCGACAATAGCACTTTATAATTCATGTGGACACTGGTGCTTCCTTTTCCTTATGGACGTCAGCTGATCAGTAAGACTTCAAATTAGTTTTAGTCTTTTTATTTCTGAAGCAAGAATTTACTGTTAAGGATGTATTAGTTAGTATTGATTTTTCAATACAGTATATCCAGACAAAAATCCTCTATTCATTAACCATTCCTATATGTCATTTTTTATGTTTATTTTTCAGTCTGTTATAACGGAATTTCAGTAAATGATGGCAGATTTTATTTGTGCCTACGCTGTAAACATTTTCAGGTCATGTAATGGAGTTAGCCATGTAAGCATGCCTCTTACACACTGCATGCAAGTACTGTGTGATGGAGGTTTCCTCTAAATCCAAATGCTGCTTCGTATCGGTCATATTGCAATCTGGGGGGGGGGGGGTGGGGTTGTTTTGTGTGTGTGATAAGTATGTGTTTGGGTCATTCGGGATGCAATATTACCAATGATAACAATTTATTTTAGCAGATATTTCTTTCCTTTTCAAACTTATTTAAAGAAATTTGAATTCCGTAACATGTTGAAATATCAACAGGCCTCTATGCAAACCCTTCCTCCTTCAGTAAAGATAAAGATATATAATTGTATTTATATAAAGAGAAATATTCAAAATGCTGGTATTTCAAATCTGCACATTTGAAACTGATGGTAAGGTTTTTAGGAGGATAATACAGTATATAATGTGCAACAAAGCTGAAACTGATCAACATATTATGTATTTTAAATGTTTTCAAAAAGCTGTAGATTGAAATTCTGCCTTATAATCAAGTATGTGCTATACAATCATTGATAAAGTGCAATTAGTTTATTTTGCATCGATACGTTTCACGATTGCCTTTTGTAAATTTGAGATTTTAATCTTGTTTTGTTATTAAGGTTCTTGTTTTTTAAATAAAAATATTTTTATATATGATGATGTCCAATTGTCTAAGCTGTTTTACATGTCAAAAGGTAACTCTGATTGCACACATCAGACTGTAGGCAGGGATCAGCGAGTACTTCTGCATTTGATGGAAATAAGTAGTATAAAGCCTTTGGGCACTTCTACAACATTCATTCCTTAACATGGTAGAAGATATTCTTTAAGCTGCACTTAAGTGAAAAGATACTTGTTTATTGATTTCTTAACTAAACTGGAGGACTCAACAACACAAAAAGTACAGTTTGTGTGAGAGAGAGAAATAAACAACTGTGTTCACAAACATCTGGACTCAGTCAGTACTTATTTACATATTACCTATTTAGACACTTTACTGATGAGTAGTACTGTAAAATACAGCAGCTTGTTTTTCTTCACCAGGGTTCATCTCAATCGTTTTTGCTACACAATTTCATGACATAATCTTATTGAATAAGCCCACCGTTACCTTCTTGTCTAAGGATGTGTGTGTGCTGACAGTGTTTGTGTTGGTTTGAGTTGCCTTGTGTTGAAAGGTGCTATATAAATAAACTTGCCTTGCCTTGGTTTGTTTGTGAGGAGAATATTTGGTATATTGACTGCTCATTGTTTTTTATTTATTTATTTTTATTTTACCTTTATTTAACCATGATAGGTCTCATTGAGATTAAAAATCTATCTTTCAAGAGAGTCCTGGTCCAAGAATGGTAACAGCACAGTTACAGACTATTTTAAAACACAATCACAACACAGTCAACAAGTTAGCCAAAGCATTTACAGACACAGCGGCCTGCTTCAAGGTCAGTCCCAAGCTCTCGCCTCAAAACCATGGGTGCTCGAGCTTTCAGCTGCTCGGCTCCCAGACTCTGGAACTCCCTGCCACTACATATCCGACAGTCTGATTCCATAACAACATTCAAAACCCAACTCAAAACCCACCTGTTCAAACTGGCATTTTCTTTATAAACTGTACCCCGTGTCCTTTTGTGTCATTCTATAGTCCATTTCCTGTTGTTTGTCTTGTCTTACCCCGGCTGATATTTCACTAAATCCACTGTTTTAATTGTTCCCTATATTGCCCCTATGCCCTGTAAGGTGTCCTTGGGTGTTTTGAAAGGCGCCCCCCAAAATAAATGTATTATTATGATGTATTAGTTAGAGTAGCTTGTATTAACGGTTTCATTATAATCATTTGTCACTCAAGTTTATTGAACAGGCAGTCTACCTGCCATCCGATAGTCTGAATTTATAGAACAATAACATTTAAGACATTACAAATTGTTGATATCTGGGGGGAAAATAAGCTGTTAAATCACCTTTCACTTTCGCTGTACTACCTCCATTAAAAAAGCCAAAAGCGATTTGTACTTATCCCAGACCAGTTTAAACGATCCTAGGAGATTTTGGCACACCATAAAATCCCTCTCTGCCAGCTCTCACTCCAGAGCTGCCTCCTAACATTGTTGTTGACTCCACCCCTGTGTCAAATAAGACGGAGATGCTTAATTGTTTTAATAAACATTTGATTGCCTCCAGTTCCTTGTTTGACACATTATCTTTTGGTAAATCACCGCCCTCCATCATCACCTGTCATGCCTCCAGTAGCCACACTTTCTCCTTCAAACCCTTCTCTGTTGGGGAGGTTTATAAGGCTCTAAAGGGCCTAGCCCCCTAAAAATCAGCAGGCCCAGACGATCTCCCCCCTTATTTCTTACGTCTAGCTGCAGATATGATAGCCGAACCACTGTGTCATGTTTTTAATCTTTCTATAACACACAATGTCATTCCAGATGTTTGGAAAACTGAAAATGTTCTCCCCTTATTGAAAGGTGGTGATCCCATGGTGATGAATAATTACAGACCAATTTCCAAGCTCTCTATTTTAGCTAAAGTACTTGAAAGGCTGGTGAATGATCAAATCAAAGAAGATTTAAGCTTGAACAACATTCTATCTCCTCACCAGTCAGGCTTTAGGAAGCAGCACAGTACAGTAACGGCTGCTTTGAAAGTAGTGAATGACATTGTTGAAGGCTTGGACGCAAAGAGCTACTGTGCTGCCCTTTTTATAGACTTATCCAAGGCATTTGATACTGTGGACCATGGCATTCTATGCCAGAAGTTATCCCATATAGGCCTGTCTGACCAAGCTGTTGGTTGGTTTTCAAGCTATCTGTCAAATCGCAAGCAATGTGTACAATTCAGCGGTCTCTCCTCAAGCTTTCTTAATGTGCCCAGAGGTGTTCCTCAAGGTTCGGTCTTGGGACCGACCCTTTTTACTATTTATATAAATGATGTGGGTCAAAGTATTGATGCCTGTGTATATCTACATGCAGATTATACTGTTCTATACTGTTGTGCCAGCACTGTTGCCCTTGCATTTGAACGTCTGCAGTCTGCTTTTGACACTTTTCAGTCACATCTGTTCCACCTCAGGTTGGTGTTAAATTCAGACAAGACAAAAGTCATGTTGTTTTCAAATAAGAAAAAGTTAACAACTGTTCTTCCCTGCATCATGTCTGCACAGCATAACCCCATTGAAGCTGTTAAAACCTACATATACTTAGGCATCACTATAGATGAAAACCTCTGCTTTAAACCTCATTAGACAATCTCTTAAGGAAACTGAAATGTAAAACTGGGATTCTTTTTTAGAAACAAGGTCTACTTCTCCCCAAGTGCTAGGAAACAGCTTGTAGCAGCCACATTTTTGCCGCTCTTGGACTACGGGGATGTTGTGTACACCTCAGCTCACTCCCTTCATCTGCTGGACGCTGTTTACCATGGGGCTCTGAGGTTCATAACCAACTGTAAACCCCTCACACACCATTGCACGCTGTACTCTTAAGTCAACTGGACAACACTATCAATGCGCAGACCACTGCACTGGTACAAACTCATCTATACCGCTTGGACTGCTGCCCCTCTACATATTCACTTACATCTCACACAAACAGTACAGCTATAGCCCACGATCTCAAAATTACACCACTCTGTCCGTCCCCTCAGTACGCACGGTGCTTGGGAAAAAAGCCATATCATACTCTGCCCCCTCAACCTGGAGCACACTTCAGCAGGAACTTAAGCTGACCAGTTTGATACCCATCACAGATTTTAAACTAATTTAAAAAAAGCTGGAGAAATCATCTGTGGGTGTTTGCACCTGCAATATCTGACTACTTTTTACGATGTTTTATTTGATTGTTGCCTCTATGTTTAGTGTCCTGTCTGTCTGTAACTTTGTGTGGTAGTGTTACCACTGAACAGGTCTCTCTTGAGAATGAGACCTTGTGTCTCAATGAGATTCACCTGTATAAAAAGAAAACACCTTTTGCAGTGTGTATTCTGATTACACATGTTAATATAGGTAAATGCTAAACCAAATGTTGACACAGAATACTTTAAAACTGGACCTCAAGGAAATAAAGCAACCAGGACCCACCTAAAAGGGAATTATGATTTCATATAATGTTGTTCATTTTCCAATCGCACATTTTTAAATAAATGTGTACAATGCTGCCAACACTCTTACACTTAGCCTAGAGCTTTCAGCGCCCCTTACATCTGTTTGTTATTCCAGCCTTCCCTCTACTCTGCATGCTGTAAGCAAACCCATCAGCCCAGAGCAAAGTTCAAGGCTTGCACTACGGTCTCCTCCATCGACTCAAATGTCCATTAATTTCACCTTTTAAAATTATGTTAAAACTTTACATCAGAAAGGCTTTTTTGTGAACGTGTAGAAATGTTTCACATTAACAATGACACACACATTTTAGCCTGTGGAAAGAAAAAAAAGAATGTGTACTTGTAACACACAGGATGGCACATCAAATCATCAACTTTGAATCTGTTCCTCACTATTGATATCATTTATGCACAAACTAACTTTTAACATTATCAATTGGATGGACTACTCCATCCGTTTAATACATAAAAAATACAAACATGGAATTATCTTGTAGTTCATTTCAAAGGTTATTCAGATTGACAAATAAAACATCAGGCTTCGCAATGTCCCTATTTATGCCAGATTAAATGTTAAAGAAGCTGCTTTTTTTGCATTGATAAAAACGTGTGTTAATTGATTGTCGATGTCTTTTGCAGATATTAGTTTAAGCACAAAAACAATTAAAATCTATTTAAATACGGCTGGGCAACATTGAGGTTATATTGATCACTGATTTAAGACTAGAGTTTCAGAAATCGGATATTGTAATAATATCACAAATGTTGTCTTTTCTCTAGTTTTGAAGGCTGCATTTCATGAGCGTCACTTTGTTAGAAAAGTGGTGGGGCCAATTTCTCCAGATATAACATCAGCATAGTAGAAGACTGATTGTTGAACCTCGAGCACCTGCATGGAAAACATGCAACATCCAACATGTGGTGGACCACCACTGTGTTTTCAACAACTATAGCTGTGAGGTCATTTGGAGTGAATGTGTACCTTTATGCACACAACGAGCACACAATGGAGGACAAAACATGAAATAAGTAAAATAATTAATTAATTCATAAATACAGGAATACAAAAAAATACAGGAATAAATAAACACGTGAAAAAATTGGACAAATTGGACATTTCTGCATTTCATATACCAGAATATTCCCTTTTATTCGCCTGTTTGCCCATTTAGTTATTATTATCCATATATCACTTGTCATTATTTATTAAAATGATCATTGAGTAATTGTTTTGTAAAAGCAAACTTTTGTAACCCTACCATAGCCGTCACTATATCGATATAGATAGTGGTCTTGGTATTTGGTAGTGGTGTAAAGTACATACTGAAGTACTGTACTTAAGTACAATTTGATACATTAAAGCTTCAATAATTATAATTTAAAAAAATGTAATTTATATATTATTCTGGAATGGGAGAATCTGAGTAGTTGGTACTTTAAGTGTATTCTGATATTAATACTTTTCACCTTTCACTTCAGTATCATTTTACTTGTAACGGAGTATTCCTGTACTCTGACATCTACTTTTACTGAAGTATAATATATGAGCACTTCTTCCATCTCTGGTATGTTGCGTTTCTTTGTATCCCCCAGTTCTACATGTGTTTTCCCTGGCTCTTATTTTGAAGTTCGGGGACGAAGCCTCGCCGGAAATGAGCTCCGTTGTTGTAGCTCTGCTCAGGCTGCTGGGGAGGAGGAAAGCTCTGGCTGTGATGCCGCTGGATGATGGCTGCTTTCGGGATCCTAAGTTACGAACACCGGCCATTGAAGCGGCCCCGACTCGGCCCTCCGGATGTTTATCCACAAGATCCAAAGCAGAAAGAGGTCAGAATTTACGATTTGCG